GTGTTCTCCCGGAAAGTTTGAGGGAAATTAGAGGCGGAGAGGGACGGGGAAGGGAAAGGGAAGTCCTTGAACGGGTCCCAGAGGTCGTGAGAGAAAGGGTCGAAGGCGTCGCTGCGACTTCCACCGAACCAGCTTGGGATGAGCGACATGGTTGTTGGGGGATCACCAGTGAAAATGTGAGATTGAGCCGAGAAAGGGTTTTGAAAGAACGCTTGAATCAGATGAGATATGCTATCGTTCGAGGATGTGACATGGAACGGGAGTGCATCGGTATTAAAATAGGAAAGAGAGGATCATTCTCTTACCTTCGCGGTCTTTCGAGTTTCGATGGACGAGAAATGGCAAACCCAGTGGGTTCATCTGGAAACTGCGGACGGAACCACCTCAGTACTTTTCCAGCAACACCAGTTACCTGCCTGCCTGGTCAACTAAAACTCGTTGCCATGATTAGTTCTGTGCGTCACACCATCGACAAAACAAATTCTATTTTGATATCGTCCGATCAGTTTTTCAAATTAATGGATTCCATATCATGTTTATTTTCCACCAATCACAAAGACAGTACTTGACTATTAGCTTCAGAATCAACTCTGATCATGTTAGCTTAGCAACGAAAATTATAATGACTTGGTCCGATTTACGGAGTTAAATTTGAGTTTTAGGATTACTATATAAAGTAATGACCATTTTGGGTAAGATCTTATCTATGAATAACATCACAAGCCTAACCTATCCAATATGGGACTTGGGTTGTCACAAACTCGCTCACTTAAATCACTGACGTTCTCGTTAGTATTGGCTTATACTGTCAGCAATACTCCATCTACTTCGTGTAAGCAAGTCCAGTTTTGCTCCCTCACAATCCTAGTTATCAAGAGTCGCATGTTATCCAAGTCATCTCACCTCAGCGACACTTCCCGCCCTCATTGTATCTACTAGCAGTCTAGTCCATCCACAAACCACACATCAACTAGAGGGAATCGTAGTCTTGCTCCGATACCATATGTAACCACCTAGCCCGTTCTACATGGCCAAGCCCCTTAAAGAAGTTTTCTGAATAACCACACAAGATGGCGGCCATATAGGGGTGGATCTTACTTGTGAATAGCATCACAAGGCCATTTATGACATTCTGAAATTCAACCCATTTGGGATTTATGAAATGAATGATTTTATTAACGCGCTTGTAGTTATATCTCGCCCGGAACTGATCACTCCTGGGATACTAACCATTAGGGAATAGCTAATTAGGGATTTAAGTTCGTAAGACCAAAGAAACTCAATTGTAGGTTGACTTTCGACTATAAGGATTGTCGAGGTGATATTTTGGGCCAATGTAGGCCGATCCAAAAATGGTCACGGATCGATTCGCCAATGTCATACAAGTGGATCGCGGGTGATTCCGCTCGACCATGAGATGAATTTGCGAACGACCTTAAACCTATTCCGAACGATCGTGCCCTTCGAAACTAGTGATTGATCTTCGCAATTACATGACAACCGAGGTCGCCATGGTTCGAGTGAACTTAAACGTGGCTCGACTTAGTGTCGACCACGAGTCAAATTCGTGTAACGCCCAAGAGCCGCTCGTTACTCAGAGATACGCTTAAGTCGCGTTGATTCGATTTAGCCATAATTAGAATCCAAGTTTGGGTTTTGAATTCCTCGAACGTCATGACAATTAATTGGACGACGTCGTCATTAGCGTAATTAATCTTAAAATTTGTTGGATTTGTCGGGAAAGATTGAAATTGGACCGAGAGTGAAAAATTACCATTTTGCCGCTGGGATTGTGTGAAGGCTCTTAAGAAAAGTGGAAGAGCAGTTTGGTCTTTTGGCTGCTCCCTTGATGGATGAATTTCATGGACAAAAATGCCCCCATCCTCCTTGCTCATTTCCTTCTTTGCCCCTAGATATTTTGTGGATGGTTTAATCTTAGCCGTTGGATGAGATGAATGTGATGTATGTTTGAATGTGGGCCTTTAGATTTGGTAAGATAGTGGAATGGGTAAGATGGTCTTTCCTTGAAGAGTTGACCCACCTAGCCTTTTTAGGTTATAATGGCTCCTTTCTAAATAATGAGGGAAAATTTCATTTTGGTACCCAAAGTGGACATAGTCCCAAATTGGTACCCAAAGTGCCCATTCAGTCTCAATTTGGTACCCAAAGTGGACATAGTCCCAAATTGGTACCCAAGTGCCCATTTAGTCTCAATTTGGTACCCAAAGTGCCCATTCGAGTCTCAATTTGGTTTGAGCTCGCCGCCGGTCAAATGCTCACCGTAGGCAAGAAATTCTTGTTCGACTCACAGGAACAGTATTTTACTTTTTTTTTTTCTCTTTTTCCGTTTTTTTCTTTTCCTTTTCCTTTTCTTTTTTTTTTTTCCTTCTTCCCTCCGCCAGCCACAGCCATGGCCGGCGGAGGTCGCCGGCGTCGGCCCTCGCCGGTGTCGGGCAAGGGCGGCCCTCGCACGGGCTGGCGAGGTCGCCCTCGCTGCGTCGGGCGAGGGCCACCCGCTTGGGTCGGCCCTCGCCCGACGCAGCGAGGGCGACCCTCGCCGGCCCCAGCGAGGCCGCCTCGCCCGACGCCGGCGAGGGTGACCTCGCCAGATCCGGCGAGGCAACCTCGCCCTCGTCGGATCCGGGTAGGGTCGGCCCTCGCCCGCCTGTGCGAGGGTGGCCCTCGCCCGACGCAGCGAGGCCGCCCGCCCGACGTCGGAGAGGGTGACCCTCGCCGAGATCGGCGAGGGCGAGGGTCACCCCTGCGGCGTCGGCGAGGCGGCCTCGCTGGGCCGGGCGAGGGTCGCCCTCGCTGCGTCGGGCGAGGCCACCTCGCAAGGGCCGCCCTCGCCCGACGCCGGCGACCTCCGCCGGCCATGGCTGTGGCCAGCGGAGGGAAGAAGGAAAAAAAAAGAAAAGGAAAAGAAAAAGAAAAAAAACAGAAAAAGGGAAAAAAAATAAAAAAGTAAAAAAATACTTGTTCCGGTAGCCGGAACAGTAAATTTCTTGCCGGCCGGTGAGCATTTGACCGGCCGGCGAACTCAGGTACCAAATTGAGACTGAATGGGCACTTTGGGTACCAAATTGAGACTAAATGGGCACTTTGGGTATCAATTTGGGACTATGTCCACTTTGGGTACCAAATTGAGACTGAATGGGCACTTTGAGTACCAAATTGAGACTGAATGGACACTTTGGGTACCAATTTGGGACTATGTCCACTTTGGGTACCAAATTGAGAAAAAGGCCCCACTTTGGGTACCAAAATGAAATTTTCCCAAATAATGATGAGCTTTTTAGGCTATGATAGACATTTTTAGCCATCATGACCTATCTAACCTACTCCCCTCTAGTTTATTCTTTTCTTTTCTTTTCTTTTCTTTCTCCCTCACTCTCTCTCTCTCACACCATTTTTCCTCTCTCCCCTTTGGCCGACCTTCTCTTTTCCTCCTCCTCTTCTTGCGCGCTCGGCCATCACGCCACGCCGGAAACCGCCACCCGTCACCGCCCGTCCAGTCGTCCTCGCCGTCGTGACCTCGTCACCGCCACCACACACTCTCTCTCTCTCTCTCTCTCTCTCTCTCTCTCTCTCTCTCTCTCTCTCTCTCTCTCTCTCTCTCTCTCTCTCTCCTCCTTGCCGTGCACGCATGCGGCCGTGATCAGCCAACCGGAGCCGCCGCCGTCGCCGTCCGTCCGCTGTTCGCTCGAGACCGCCGTGCGATCACTGGCTTGCTGCCCCTTTTTCTTACTTGATCTTGCATAGGACCTTGAGAAAGTGACATTCTAAACCTTGCTTAGGATAGCGGGTATTAACGAACTAGTTTAGGTGCGATTTTGTGGAGATTAGGGGTTGTTTGAGTGCTAACTTATTAGACGGATTATGGATGGATTTATAGACGACTTTGTGGTTATTTAGAGACCAAATAGGGGTTGATTATGGTGGATTTATATGCTGGAAAATGTGGTTGAATATGGTGAGTATATAGTTTGATTTGTGAACTACACGTGTTGGAATATTGTGCCGGTGTCGTGGTTGATTTATGCTACCTTCGTGGCTGACTTTATTGCTTGAAAAATGAGTGCAATATGTTGAGTTGTGGGCTGTGATCGTTGGCTTAGTTATAGCTTAGTATGCTTGGTGAAATGTGATATGAATGGTTGACATTTGGATCTCGTTAGCGTGAGCGTGGGCTGATTTGAATTAGCTGGAGATTGAGCATGTTGTATGACGTTTGAACATGTGATATGCGTGAGGAATTGATGTGTACGCGATGTGCGAGTGATCACTAAAAAGCCCTGAGGCGTTTTACATGGGGTCAAGATAAAATATGGTGTGCTAGTGTGCTCGTGTAGTCACTTAATCCCTGAGGCGTTTTACGCGGGGAATTGAACCCGTCCTGAGGCGTGTTACACGGGACGATGCCCGGTTATACCGAAAAACCGCCAACTTGATGCGTTTTACGTGGGTTGTGCCGTAGGAGGAGATGTTGAGCCTGAGGCATTTTACGCGGGCAAGAGACATAAAGCCTGAGGCGTGTTACGCGGGCTGTAGAAGAGTTGTTGAGCTTGAGGCGTTTTGACGCGAGCCGTGGAATGAAAGTTGGACCTGAGGCGTGTTTACGCGGGTCGTGAATAATCTGGACACGTGTGCTTGAGTGCATTGATAAATGCGAGGTGTTGAGCTTGAGATTGAAAATGCCCGGATTATCATAAGTGCATGAGCATATATTGACGGTGTCTTGGGATTGATTGTATGCTTGTGATGATTGGCATATTGTTATGATTGGACTAACGTGCAAGGTTTGTGCGTGAGCCGAGGCAAGGTAAGTATGCCGTGGTTGATATAGCTTGCTGATTGAATGATTTTAGTGATTGAATGATTTTAGTGCTTGAATTAGTTTGAAGTTACGTGTTAGCCTAGGTGGGGTTTAGGGTGTTCGCTTATTGAGAAGTATTCTCATGGTTGTTTAACCAAACCATTTCAGACCCCCGACCTGGACCATGAACACTCTCCCGCAACGTTTTGGGATACCGGTGCACTCCGAGCACTCGGTAGTCGAGCACCCGGTAGGTGAGAACCAGGCTTGCATTAAGCGTACTACGGTGGTTTGGGTAGATGTAGGTGAACCCCAGTTGCAATCCAATAAGTTCACAGAATGGTGTTTCCGAGCTGGTTTTAATGAGTTTGAACCCGTTCGGAGTTTTGATGTCCCGCATGATGGAGTCGGAGATTGGGATCCGTCGGCCGTTCCTCCTCCTGATGGTGAGCTGACTAGTGCTGAGACGGGCCCTGTGAAGTCAGGCCCTGCACCTGCACCTGCACCTGTACCTGCACCTGCACCCATGGACCCTGAGCCTATGGAGGTCGAGCCCGACCTAGAACCCGAGGAGTCACACCAGGAGGCGGTCCCTGTGGAGCCGGAGGTTGAGCATGAGCTGACTGAAGAGTTTGAAGACCCCAAAGGAAAGTACGAGGAGCCTAAAGAAGAGTTTGAAGAAGAGCCTGAAGAAGAAGAACTCGAGGAAGAACCGCCGATTGAGGTCCCATCAGAGTCGGGATCCGAGGATAACCCGATTGAGATTAAGGCTGACCCCGAGTGGACACCTTCTAGGTCTCATAGGGGTTAGTAAGGGCTAGTTGTTAGAACCATTTTGAGAATGCTCCATTTTTGGTATAGAAGTTAACCTACTCAAACCACTTGCCCCTTTTTTTATGATAGTGCTTGCTAACCTTGTAAGCCTGGTCTGTTTTGTAAAAATGGATATTGTATGTATGTCTCGTGTTATTGAAAGTTGTTCGTTTGGTTATGTGGTTGTTCGCCCTGTTACCCCTCTTCTAATTCTTATCCGAGTGTTATACTTGTTTCCGCTTGTGTTTGAGCTCTGATGATTTGGGGTTGGGTCGGCGACGAGCCTGAGACGTCGCATTCAATTGGACCAACTTAGGGGTGTCGCGCGCTCGTTGGGGTTCGGGTCGTGACACCATTAATGGGATTTGAAATATCACCAAAATAGCTATTGTCACAAGTTCTAACTTCTAAGTTTAGTACACTCATTAGCCGATCTTCGTACATGTTAACGTTAGCGGGCTGCGATAAATTGATCATCTTTTCCCGCAGTCTCAACTTTGGAAATTTCTCTGGAGTTGAGATTCTTGAATACTAATTGCGCTCAGCAGCTCGCATCACTAGTCCATATTGACATATTTTGAGTTTGGCCTGTAATGTTCATTTTCTTCAACTCGCTAAACAGTACTTCAACAGGGATCTTTGTGTTTTCGTAAAATGCACTTGCTGCAAAGAGAAGGTAAGCATACTAGATCTTTGGGGCGACTCAGTTTCCAGAAGACGAAACACTTGATATCCGTTGGCCTAGCTGTCTGAACAAGCCATTTCCTCTTCCTTCAAAGTAGAAGGCATGGAAGTGAATATCAACAATACCACACATGCTGAAACTGAGTGAGAAAGATCGTATTCTCGTCTTTATTTCGAGCAATCCGACTAGGAAGGAAGAAAGAATGTCTATAGCTTACGAAATAGGAATAAAAGGAGTATCTCTTTTTGAACTAGTTGGAATATTCAAATCTTGAAATAGTTACTATGATCTCGTAGAAGCAATACATGCTAAGCTGCACTTGACTCTTCAGATCCTATGTCGAAAGATCCCGTTCCAGGCGCCTATCCCATGAGATGCGAGGACTTGCCACTTTTCCTGGCTATCTAGAACCCATGTTGGAGTTGTTGAGGAAAACTCCTATTAATTTTGAAGTTGACAAAACCTTCTATGTTATTGTAAATCTGATACTTATTCTGAACTATTCCAGGTCTGTATATTCGGAAGCTCGAAGAAAGTTATTCGAGACTTTACAATCGTCAAGTATATTTCGAAGACCCACATAATCGCAGCTTCGAGATTCGAAGCGAAGTTATTCGGATGCGAGATGCGAAGTTATTCGAGATGCGGATGCGAGGCACGAAGAAATTATTTGACGAAGAAATTCGTCGACGCGAAGAAATTATTCGGACGCAGAAATTCTTAGACGCTGACGCAGGAGTTCTTCGATGCGACGCGAGAATATCTTCGACGCAGAATTCGAACGTAACACAACAGCTAGTGATCCGGCATGGATTTCACTGAAGGAATGTTCGATTGTCTCAATCGAATCAAAGCGATTGACAATCAAACATCATGACAAGAATGCATTACAACGGACAAAGTTCTACTTATGGAAACCAAGATTCGATTGTATGGGCGACCAGAATCGGCGGATTCGAGAATCGTCAACCAACGGCTACTCAATCCTTACTATACAAATCTGTCCAAGGTAAAGATTGGAAGATGATCCTCGAAAGCTGTCCAACGGCTAGTTTGGAAGCGAGAGGAATATTTAAGGAGATCAACGAGCAACGGAAGGGAGTACGTAATCAAGAATCAACAAGTCCAAAGTCGAGCTTAATCCAATCATTTTTCTCTTGTCATTCTGAGCCAAATATTAAGATCTTGAGGAACACTTTGTAAGAGTGATTGTGTGAGATAGAGAGTCCTATCATACACAAGAGTGTAAACACTCGAAGTTGTAACTCCTCTTGATTACATAGTGAAATCCGCCGGTAGGTCGTAAGCGTGGGAGAGTGGACGTAGGCTTGCTATAAGCCGAACCACTATAAACTTGTGTGCGATTCTCTATCCCTTATCTCTTACTTTACATTACGCACATCAAGAGCACGATCTATATAATCTGTCTTGAATCTGAATTTTATTCGGACTCTTACGTGATTTATTTTGTTTCCGCATAAATTACTAAAAATTGTTTTAGATCACCTATTCACCCCCCTCTAGGTGATCCTTGCTAGCTACATCAATTGGTATCAAAGCGGGTTGCTCGGTTATTGAAGTGTTTTACTTCTGAGCTAACGATCTATATGGCTAGCTATGGTGCTCCAGGGCTCATTGAAGGACAGAGCAACAACAGACCACCATATTTCGATGGCAAGGAATATAGTGTCTGGAAGAATAAGATGAAGGCATTCATAAAGTCAATTGACCACATGCAATGGGATGTCATCATCAGAGGTGTCAATCCAAAGTCTTCTGATTCAAAAGAAAAGGCAGATGCAAGCAAAGCAGCAGATCCTCCATTATCTCAAACTGAGATATCCAAAAGAGAAACCTTAGACTCCAAAGCTATTTATTCTCTTTATTGTGCCTTATCACCTATTGAATATAAAAAAATTGCTGCTTGTGAATCAGCTAAGGAAATCTGGGATACTCTCCTTATTACTTATGAAGGAACAGATCGAGCCAAGGAAACTCAAATTAATCTTCTGCTTGGTCAATATGAATCTTTCAAAATGAAGCCTGGAGAATCAATTGCTGATTTATATGACGGGTTTATCGATATAGTAAACGGTCTTGCTTATCAAGGACAACCGGTTCCGGATGCACGAAAGTCAACAAACTTCAGAGGACCGACAAATCGGTGGGACAACATCAAAACATCTCTTCGAGAGACACAAAGGATCAAGCCTCTATCAGTGAATGAGTTAATTGGAACTCTTCAATCATATGAGACTGAGAAACGAAATGAGGAGATTGAATCCAAAGGTAATAAATCAATTGCGTTGAAGACTAACATTGATTTCTGAAGATGAAGACGTTGATGATGAAGAACTAGCTCTATTTATAAAGAAGTATAAGAAAATGAAGATCAAAGGAAGAAACCTCAGGGGAAAGAAGCCTTTTGAAAAGAAGAAATCTTTCGATGAGACAGAAAGATCGAAGGATGTTATATGCTTTCACTGTAAGAAACGTGGACATTTCAAGCCAAATTGTCCACTTCTGAAAAAGAAGACCAAGTTTGAGAAAGCAAAGAAGGCCTTAAAAGCAGAAACCTGGAGTGACACAGAATGTGAAGACAGTGATGAAGATTTCTGTCTAATGGCTAAGTCAGACTCAGACTCAGATTCAGATTCTGATCCCAAAGTGGAAATTGAGGTAAAACATTCTGACATGCCTATTGAGGTATCAAATTACATTGATGAATTATGCTTTGAATTCAAGACTGCTCTTAAATGCATCTCTTCTTTGAAAAAGGAAAATTCATCACTGAGGCAACAGGATGTTTCACAAAAAGAAAAAATCGATTTCCTTCAAAAAGAATTTCATCAAGTCAAGGAAAGTCGAGATTTTCTTTCCAAAGAAAATGCAGTTTTGAAAAAGCAAGTTTCAGAAATTACTTCCAAATTTTCAAAGGGATCAGAAACCTTGAAGCATATCCTTTCTATCCAAATTCCTTACTACAACAAATCTGGTCTCGGATTTGTGAAGGAAAGTGATAGCTTGATTGATTTTCCAAAGGTCAAGGAGAGATTAAAACAAAGACCTCCTCGACAAGCTTATAAAAATCATTTCAAAAGGAATTTTGTAAAACCTGTTGGTCGAAGTGCACTCAAGTGCTCAAAATGTGGAGATCCACAACATTTTGAGAATGAATGTCCTAAGGTCTGGAGACCTGTTAGAAGAGATTTTGTTAAGACAGCCTATACTAATGTTCAAGGACCCAAACAAATTTGGGTACCAAAGAAAACTTGAGATGTTTGTGTTCTTTGCGAGGTTACCACAAAAGAAAAAGGAAGTGGTACCTAGACGGTGGATGCTCTAGACATATGACGGGAGATCCAAGTATATTCGTTGATCTACACAATCTGAATGGTGGAAAAGTATCCTTTGGAGGAAATACCAAAGGAAAAATCGTTGGCAAAGGAACAGTTGAAATTGGAGGACTTACAATCAATGATGTCTCGTTGGTAAAAGGACTCAACTACAACTTGATAAGCATAAGCCAACTATGTGACACAGGTTTCAGAATCAACTTTCAAGAAGATACATGCTCAGGGACAAGCAAAGATTCTTCTCAAACATTTACAGGGAGAAGACATGGCAATATCTATCTTCTAGATGTCAATCCAAAATCCACTCATTGCTTGATCTCAATCAAAGAGGATGAAGATCTATGGCATAGAAGACTGGGGCATATCAGTATGAAACAAATCTCAAAGATCTCAAACAAGAAACTGGTTCGAGGTCTACCAGATTTGAAATACAAGAAAACAGAGTTATGCAATGCCTGCACTCTAGGAAAACAAGTAAGAAGTTCTTTCAAGTCTATACATCATGTTTCCACTGATCGTGCTTTGCAGCTTCTTCATATGGACCTATTTGGACCAACCAGAACACAAAGTATTGGTGGTAAGAAATATTGTTTAGTCATTGTTGATGACTTCACAAGATTTACTTGGGTGTTCTTTCTTACTCATAAAAATGAAGCATTTTCATATTTTTCAAAATTTGCAAAAAGAGTTCAGAATGAAATGGGCTATTCCATTTCCTGCATTAAAACTGATCATGGGGGAGAATTTGAAAATCAAAGTTTTTCAGATTTTTGTGAGGAAAATGGCTTTCAACACAATTTTTCTACTCCTTACACACCAGAACAAAATGGTGTTGTGGAAAGGAAAAATCGCTCTTTGCAAGAAATGGCAAGAACTTTGCTGATTGAAAGCAAAATTCCTTTTATTTCGGGCGGATGCAGTTTTACAAAGATGCTATATCATTAATGAGCTTTTCTC